TTCGGATTGAGCTGCAGTAATACAGCTATATTTTGCTTCTTGTATTGTTTTACTTGTATCCGATATTCGATAACAGTACTTATTTAAATCAAGCCAGTTCACTGGACAATCAGGAAGCCAAGGATTTATAGAAGTTTCATAACTGGATGAACGACTAGTGTATATAGATAATGAATCATCACTTTTTAAAGAAGTTATACATAAATGAGCTGATGATAATAGAATTTCATACGATGAATATCCATGTGAACTTAAACAGCTATTACTTAATGTATAAATCGAACGAAAACTATAGCTAGACAATCCTGTATTATTATTGTCTGAATATTCTGTTGGACATTTCCATTTAGGATCAACAATATCATCATTATAAAAACTTATTCTAACAGTCGATTTTGTTAAGTTTAACTTATCAATAATTTTCAGAAAGGCATTCCATGTTATTTTTCCATTATAAAAATATTGTTTCGATGAAGATGGGCATGAATGCATAATGTTAACTATCGAAGACATGCATTCATTTAATTCTTTTACATAAACAGAATGAGATGGACATGTATCAGTTAAATCATATACAGTCCATATTCGGGTATCATTTTTTGAGCCACATTTAAATCTATGTTCCATGTCTGAGTCGCCAAATGTATTATCACAATAATGATCACACGTATTATTTGATAAAATTGTTAAATTAAGTGTACGACTAAAATTTACGCTGAATTCCTGTTGCATTATACATGAACATTGGCTACTGTCGCTGTTGAAAGCTAAAAGGAAAGTTTCAGCTTTTTTTTGCTAAACAATAATTTGAAGGTGTGGGTGTGAGTGTTATGCTTATCTCGCATTGACACTCACCCACCCTATATCCTCAAAATGTTAATTTACCTATAGATTTTGTCGTTTTATTTTGATCATAACATGCAGCCGCACATCGTTCTAATGTATTCAATGCTAATTTTTCAGATAATCTGTCAATTTTAACTTGTAATATATTCATATTAGTAGAACTATTCCAGAATTCGCATGATCTAAGTCGAATTCGATAATCAAGTAAATGAGCATGTTTGATATAAAATTGATCTTCAGCATAAGCTGAATAACTTTCTGATCCACCACATGTATAGTTTGTTGTGACTTTGCGGTAACCTGGCTTTGGACAGTCTATTGAACAATGTGGGTCTCCCCGTCGACTATAATCCATAAGACCACTCCATGAACATCGACATATTGAATCCTGTATATAGATTATTGGTGTTTCACATAAACTGAAACATAATGTTGGTTCCATATATGAACTTTCAAAATAACTATCATAAAATGCTTCTTGATAGCAGCCAATATAATGATATGAACCATAAACGGAATGTGCTATGAGAACTATGACCAAAGCAGACAGTACTCTTGAATGAAGCATACTGTATATCAAGAATGTAAGTAAATAAATGATGAAGAAAATTGAAAACGATTCTAATCTAGCAAGAAAGAGGAGAAATGTGAGATTTTTGTAATTGGTTTAAAATCAAGATAGTGATAATAAAAAAATACGAGAAAGAAGACCTTTTCTTTCATGCTATCGATGTCTAATAGTTAAGTCATGAGTATTGTTTTTCTATTATACGGTAGCTGTAATCTGAAAACTATTTTTTATCGTGCTTTGTTTATTGAATAATATTGTATTGTTTTCGAGACCAATAGAAGGCGTTTTGCCGATGAGAATCTAAAGCATCAAGTACAATGGTTATATAATGAAGGATGATTCTGTTCCGCTCACATTCTCACAAAAAGCAGAAGCTTATCGAAAAAAAAACATTATGAAGTGTATTTGATAAAGTTGTTCATTTACTTAATTATTTTGAGGGTAGGTGAGTGTGGGTGTAGTTGAGTGTTATCTTTTCATGCACACCCACACCCACACCCTCCTTTATATAAATGAAAACACAATTATTAAAAGTTAGTAGATCGATATCCTTAGTTCTTGTTTGATATTTTAAATATGAGGATACTATTCAAGGACGAAAAAGAAAGCGTTTATTTTGACAAAATCTTCGATTTCTTCTTTTTATATCAATATACCGTCACATGGTTTATTTTTTCTTTCCTTTGATAAATTTATTTTTCATGAATACATCTACAAAGTAATGTTCTTTTTTTCGCTCATCAAACAGAACAACAATTATAAATGGCAACAAAATCTTTTTTAATAAAAATTCTGCTTGAGTCATTAATTCTCTTTAGTATTACAACAAGTGTTTGTTTTCTTGTTGAAATATCAATTTATTTTGAACACAATTTCAAAGTTAAATGTTATCAGAAAGGTCTTGGGGGTGTAGGTTTTCTTTTAATTTCACACCCACACCCTTAGACTACGCCAAAGTTTACACATAAAGGGAAAATGCACCTCGCTGTTGCGCTGCTAATTGAAGTCGCTCTATAGCTGCCATGGAAAGACTACAGTTACGTATACTTATTCCATGAAAATATCGATTTGCAAACATAGCAGAGCAGATCCCATCTACACTTGCATCAGTTATCAATTTATTGTCAGATAAGCCTAGCGAAGGTATGAAACCACGCTGATCAAATCCAGGTATTTTCATTAATACTTGTACTCCAGAATCACTAATTTTGTTATCACATAAATGAAGGAAACGCAGCCGTCCATTCATTTCAACTGCCTCTACGAGATACTCACAGCTTGCATCTGTCATTCCAACTGAGTCCAAATATAGACCTATAAGACCCATCTCTTTATTTGCCAATCCTCTAGCAATACATTGAACACCTGCATCAAGTAGTCGATTTCCACACAGTTTGAGTTCTGCAATATATTTCGTATTGTAGAACGATTGAGCCAAAATAAAAGCACCAACTGATGTGATTTCGTTGTGGCGAAGATTCAGTCCTCGATACTCATTCTCCACAATAAATAACCTCGCAACTATTTCCATATCTCGATCATTCAAATTCATCGATTCCATAACTAGTGTGTCACGTGGTTTGGATAATTGAATTATCTGTTCTAGTTGTGGATTTCGATATTCATTTAATTGGTTATCTTCAAAAGAAAAACTAATATAAAATACTAGGAATATTTTATCTCACGTATTACTTGATATAGATGTAGATGTTACATTCATTTGTAGATATTCATATAATGGAATCTCATGCAAATGAATTACATGAATTCCATCGCCTTGCTTTGAAGTTTCCATCACTTTAAAAACAATTCCAGGTAGAAGTAGAATTTCTTCATCATTTTCAAGATGTGAATGTTCTCGGATTGATTTTCCATTTCTTGTTTTAATCTGAAATATTGTTTGTACTTTTTCTCTCCCTAAATACATTGGTGATTGAAGAATATTGAATGAAGATGTTGTAGAGGTCAACGACCACCATGTTATTTCATCTCCTTCTCGGTAGTATTCAGTCACATCTTTAGGAACACCACGCCAGACAGTATCATATTCAGTATATCTACTTACGATTCAATTCAAATCAATTCTGTCAACAAGTGAATGGCTTACGGTAGTTTGAAGACTGCTGTAAAAAATAATTTCAAATATTTCCTCCAATACTGAAGTTGCTCTCGATCGATAGCAACGAGAGCTTGATTAAGGAGAACATGAAGACTATTTTCTGGTTGATTCCATTCCATGGTATATAAATAGATGCATGCTGATTCATCTTGAGTAAGTTCATGTTTCGGTTGTTTTGAATTCAGTTTGGCAATAGTTACGTAGAGTTGAAGTTCTGTACCAAGGATATTGTGCAACGGTTGACAAGCTTCTTCAAGGGATAGAAGCTGTTCTTGTTCATAACCATTGATTGATTCAATGTCTGGATTTAATCGACAGGGAATATCGACTAGAAGACGAGGATTGATTTCAAACGAGACTGACATT